CACCAGCACCACCAGACAAATCACCAACACCACTAGATAAATCACCAGCACCACCAGACAAATCATCAACACAATCCCCTTGTGTGCCAGCAAAAGCCAATTTTCTTTGTTTTGTTGGAGGGGCAGGCAAATATTCTCGGGTAGCTTCACGCATCAACTACAAAACAGAATTTATAAAATGTTAATTATGATTAAAATGGCATACAAAATACTATCAAGTCACATACGTGTTCACACAACCTCACACACAAATCATGACACACTTTCTATAAAGTAGCATGTTATCCTTTCTGTGAAGTAACATGTTGTGCTTCGAGAATATATAATATATGGACGAATTTACAGAATGTAGATTATGTTATGAAGATACATTTCAAAAGATCAATTTATACAAGCGGAGTAGTTTATATGTAAGTCCAAATTGCAGAAGAAAAATTATTGTGAAATATACTTACAAGTCTCTTCTCTTTTCCAGAGATACTATCTTCTCCACCTTTCACAGCATCAACCGTTGGTACTGAGCCGCGTATCAAGAAACGCTTTGTGTTACTGTTATCGAAGCCTTCAAGATTGTTTGCGAAACGCTTTGAGAAGCAGCTCTCATCAAAATGCGCTGAACACAACCATATTCTTGACGAATATTTTGTGGGGTCGAAATCACATCGATGCCTTCGAACAAACCGTATCCATTGCTTTCGTACAGACGGATCTGTCGGAAAACAATGCATACTAATGCCTGGTGTATCACCACTATTTGTGCAGGACTTTTTATTTGGCCCTCCAGCGACACAAAACACTTTAGATTTTCTTTTATTCCCCTCATTTGCACATGAATGACTTGTTTCCTCCATATTGTGCGGCTATGTAAATGAAGCGTGCCCTGCTCTTTACGTCACAGGAAGTAATTTGACGCCTTTTGGCCGCGCGCAAACAGAACCATTTTTGAAGCCAAAATCGGCATGTTTAACCCCCGATAACTTTTGTCGGATTCATTTTTAGAACTTGCGGTTTTCAAAATCGTTTTTTACACATTAAAAACTATAGGAATATACGGGAAAAAATTTGGTTTCATAGGCACTTTTAATTAAAAATTCATTTTAGCCTAGTATTGAATATATAAAACCTGTGTTGTTAAAGTTACTCATTAGTTTTATTGTGCAGGGCTTGAAAATGCTTGGAAATGCTTTCTGAATTAATGTTTTCAGAAATTTTTGCGCTTGCGTCTTAAGGTTACAGGACACCTTTTTGGCGATTTGCGGAAAATCGCTACTGCGCGCTCAATATCAGTCCGATTTGAATCAAATTTTCACCAAATGTTCGCCAGTGTATGCAAAATATGGTAAAGTTGTAAAATTAACAAACAATAAAATAATATAAGAATTATTCAGGATACTCTTAAATCGCGGTACCGTTACGCTTTTGAGTTGTGCTCCTGCTGGTTTTAAGTTATATTTATGAAAATATCATTTTTATACAGTAAAATAGTTGTTCTAAAAAATTGTGTTCGGAATTTTTTGTTTATTTCGTCATTCCGCTGATATGGCGATTTCTTTGACGACTGCAATATATTTCTGAATTGTTTGAGTGAATTGCTCTTTATTATTAAAATATCCAAAATTTAAAAAAAGCCGAACACAATTTTGAAACTGACGTCTTTAGCTATGTCCTGTGAAAATTTGAGAAAAATTGGTCAAAACCCGCAGGAGCACAACTCATTTGAAAATCAGAAATTACCGTAAAATTCTTCGGGAGAAAATTGAATTTGAATATTACATTTTCAATGTTTTTCTTATTGCAGCGAAATGTATTTTATTAAATAACTCTGCGAGTTTTCAACATTTTTCGTTCAAACTTGGTCAGATAGTAGAACTAGTCCAATGCTTTCATGGAAATCAATGAAAAAATTTTAGGCAAAATTAACCCTCAAAGGTGTTCTGTAACCTTAATAGTATTTTAGATATTTCACTCATGCGCCCAGTGCGTATAGCACTTCTATAGCATAACGTAGAAATATGACCAATTTCTCGACTACTTATTTCCCATCCATAATCTGGCAAGGTATGATGGTCTGGAATTCCGTCCAACTTCACATCCATGAACAAAATAGAAGACTTCTTTTTCGTTTTTCCGAACCTAATTACGCAATCCTGAAAGGTCAAGAGTCTTAAAAATCCCTAATTATCTGTTTTTCCTTGTCTTTTTTTCGTCGTCGAGGAATCGAGTTTGCGTTAGCGCATCACAGGCTCAGGTTCCAGTGTTCCAGTTTACTATACAGATCTTTTTTCAAGATGGTGGACATTCATTGAGTGGCTATTTCAGTCCCAAACAATTTCTTCATTCAATCACTACCATGTCTGTGCATGGTTTTATATGTGATAAAATTGTGTTAATTTACATAAAGTTAGCTTTGATTTTTCTTGGCTTAGACAACGTTAATTTATTTTTAAAATTTCTTCGCCAATGAACTCAACAGATGGGTCGTTTTTTAAGCCATATTAAACATGAACAAAAGTACTTTATCGGATATAAAACACTGATCGAGATACGTTTTCGTGTATTATATATGATAAAACACCACTGTTCATGTTTTAAATAGCACATAAAATCATTACGCCTGTTTGCCCTATTTTTTACCAGAACTGAAATATCCATACCTGAGATGTTATTCTTTGCGTAGTTTCAAAATATTCTGAACTACTTGTATCACTATAAGCCGGTATGAATGGAAGATTTATAATTTGAATTTCACCACGAACAGACGCGCTAACATCTAGGAAGAATAATGGATGCATGGAAGTTAGTTTGAATTAATTAAATATGTTGAAGTTTAAATACTTAATGGATTAGTGTCACATCGCGATATGGCGGGGCTTCTGTTATTGTTTTTATCTCACCCCATATCAACAAATTACGATAAAAATACATTGTTTGGTACATTTCCAATAGGAGTCAAACAAAAGAAGCAAGGTACTCAAAGGATGGTACAAATGGCCATCTAAACTCGGGAATTTGATCACGCGTGCTATACCATGGTATAACACTGATCCTTTAACGTTGAACAGAGCGTGTGTACAGCACAGATAGATCTATTTAGAAAAGCATTCGTTAACTGGAAACACGAATTAGTGGATGATTAATTTACCCCAAACTGCACTGTAAAACAGATTGATTAAAATAACCAATTCGCCGAGTTGAAACAAAATAATAATAAATGGTAAAAATAATCTGACTATATCAGACTTCGTCCACTGAAAAATCTCCCTTCCAAACACGCTTAGCGGTAATTGTGTATCAACTTGAAATATGAAGGCAGATAAAATGGCGAAAAATCTGAGCGAATGCGTTTATCTGCTGAGGAGAATAGAAGTTTTAAAATGTGGACTGTTAATTTAAACGTTTTTAAACGTTTTGTCATACACTAAATTATTTTATTCAACCACATATCGAATATTACTGTTCATCAGAAAATCGCGCTAAAGATGCCCAATTCTCACCGGGCGGTCTTGCAAAGTTAAGTTTCATACATACTAATACATGCTGACTCGTCCTTCGTAAGTTGTTGTCTGGGACTGATGCAGTTACAGCGATATGCTCCTGGATAGTTGGTACATCTTTTGTCTTCACCTGTACATTTAGGGGGTGTGGCTGTACATTCGTTTATATCTTCTATATATAGAAGCAAAAAACACGATAAATAACATAAATTCGATCCTCGGAATTTCCCAAGGAAGAAAATTAAAATTAGGAAAAATTGTGTAAGCCAATTTTTCCTAAACTAGGGATCCAAGGAAAGTATGAAGTTTCAAATTGAACAAGACACTGCAAGAACTATATAGGGTCGCCGACAACCTAGAAAAGCTGACGGCTTACACTACGAAATAAACAGTTACCAAAGGCACTTCATCTCATTATTTATTGTTTTTAATACGCTCGGCACACAAGTAGCGTGACGTTTGAAACAAGCCTAACACATCAGAAACGTGCCTTGTGAAACTGATGCAATTTATCTATTATTGTGATGCTACACGCGACAATTCGAAATTTAAATTGTTTCACCAACAAACAAATTTTGCATATTCTAAATTTCCATTTGCATTTACAGCTGTATGCTAAATTTATCTAATAAACTATAATTGAAATAGCTGTATAAGATATGTTATGAATAATAAGCACTACGTCGCACAGATTTCTACGTCGTTACATCATTAGAAAGACGCATTTTATCCTCATCCGTTCCGTATTTTATCCGCATATCCGTTCCGTGGATCCGCTCCATCCGCTTCCACATTTTAACCTAATTGTGACATGTTTCACAATAACAAGTCTCATTGACCTTTGGGTTTTCCCAGTGTGACGTTTGTCTATTTTCAGCTTTTCGCATGTGTTGAATAATGTCACTTTAGATTTCAATAGTTTCACAGTTAAGCAGTGTTTAAAGCATTTTTGACAAGCTTTGATACAGTTCTGTGTACAGAATAATACAGATTGATTCTCGTAAGATCTGGTAGAGTAATCGTTGCACTAAACACGAGTTTGACAACACCGTTAACAACGGCGTTGTGCTAGACAGTAAACAAAGACAAGGCCCGTGACGGGCGTTGTGAAAACCCCGCGGAATGCCGCAATATCACGGAATATGGCGGAATATGCCGGAATATGGCGCCAAAAACGAGGCTTTAATCGCGAAAACGAGGCATAAGGCCCAGCCCAAAGCCTCTATACCATCAATTTTCAAACTCAACGCCCCCAAATTGACCAAATCCACGTGGTCCCATAAATTTCCCCGTCGGGGGACCATTCCCCCCTGTTCCGCCTGGTCTATGGAATATTACTAATTTTGCAATGCTCTTTCAAGCTGTGATGCAATTTTTGTCTAAAACAAAATTTTAGTTATAAGGTGAAAGGTCCAATAAGCGGAAGATTCATGCTTAAACTGCCGTTTAATTAAGGTAATTCTTTAAATTTTTGACCAGGAACTGGTCCCCCATCCATTCTAATCTTGTCGTTGTTGTTAGGGGGCGACGCTCTTCGAAAAAAGCCATAGGCGACTTCATTTGGAGTCCGATCGTCGCGAAATTTGACACGATGAATTTAAATGATATTCGTCATCGACCGACGGTGCCCGATTTTTTATTTTCGATTCCTAATGCAATTCTTATCTGTACGCGTAGAATAACATTATGCATACATTAATATTCACAGGCGAACTCCGACCATAACGTTTTGATCGGCAAAAAGTACATTTTGGACTTGGCACTAAGGCAACTGAGGTCAGTTCACAGTTTTACTATCTTTAGTATCAATATAGGGTGGATTTTTTCAACATTTGGGGTAGTGTTTCGAGTTTGAAAATTGTCTTCACTGTTTGGTTTCTCGCTAAAAATAAATCTTTTGGACCACGGTCAAAATAACGTGAATACCTGCGCGCTCCTGCAGCCAATCAGATTGTAAGAAATAAAAAATATCACTAGGCATTCACAAATAGAAAAATAAGTACCACTATTTTTTAGAAGGGAATATCGTGTGGATAATTTATGTACCTGAATAAAATACGTACAGTATATACCTTAGCATCCGCGTAATGCAAGTCATAAAACAGTATACTAACCACATTGTATTCCATCGCCTAGATAGCCATTTTTACAAATACATTGATAGGATCCGATTGTATTATTGCATATAGCGTCTTCTGAGCAATTCGAATTAGGTTCGTTGATACATTCATCAATGTCTAAAGAAATATAATTTTTATTACTATAAATATCCAAACTCTTCATTCATATTATAAATGTCCAAGTTCAGAGTGCAGCACTCCAGTGAACTATACAGTTGTGTGTCAAAATAAGCGGCTAGTTATTGAGTGGGCAAAATGTGTCCGACAAGTGTCAACGATTTCTTTGGATTTTACATTGTGACAAACTCTGGACATTCTTGTGAATTTAGGGACCGGTCATTATTTATGGAAGGGGGGGGAGGGAAAAATGAGTAGGGGGGCCATATGTATAAATAAATTACTAGAAGGGGGGGCTATTAAATTTTTCAAGAAAATGAAAGGGAGGGGTTGCAATTAAATTTGAAGGAATTTGCTTAATAAGCATGGTATCCATTTGGTTGTAATTGCGACTAAATCATGGTCACTGATGTGAAATAGTCTGGATTTATCTTGTCTTCTGTGTGCTGTATGCAAATCAGTCTTTACTGATTG